TGATGCGGGCGGGGGCAAGGTGGGGGGCGGTTTGCAGTTTAGGCGGGGAATGGGATGGAAACCGCGCGCCGCGCGTCGCGCAGTTGGCAGTTCGCGACGGTGGTCTGCGCGCAGACACATTCCAGTGAAATAAAACCCGGGCACTGAAACTTCGCGCGCGCTGCTGTCCGCAAAATGGAACACGGCGACATGTTTTATGACGTAATTACTCTCGTGGGCTTGTATTATTACTTTTGTAATTATAGTAATTTCCGACTTGAAAAATTTAGTTTGCAAGGATGAATTTTGAATATTCTGAAACTCTCTGTGTCTAGCGTTTGAATTAAAATTGTGCAAATATGTTGTAATATCCCTGCAATGTGACGTAATATATCTACAAAAACTACAAATTGATATGAATAAAAAGTACAACAAAAATATGTTATTTCGGTCGAATTCAAGAATCCGCGTTTAATTATTGGTACTTTTCCTAAGAGCGTTCCAAACTCGTTCCTTGAAACAACCCGGGGTATTTCTGGTGATCAAAGAGAAGTTTCTCTGAGGAGGTGAAGGTGGCACGTAGCACGTTGCACGTACCCCGTGAGCCAGCAGCGTCGCCACGTGCACCACGTCCAACGGGAGGGTGATCGCCACGTTCAGGATCCATGGCACCAGCAGCAGTCGGTTATCCTGCAACAATAAAGACGCAATTGCAGATTTATTGATTGTCGCGTTAATCGCTATGGCCATTAGACGCCTAAGTATAATGCATGCATGTTTTAAAGGGGTTTGTGGTGGTCTTTTCCCGCAGGATGTGACATCCTGCGTGTACGGACATGAAGACTAGGAGGATTTTCCCCATCCAAGTATCTCTCACCACCGCAACGGGACAAGCTTTAAGCTCCTGATCTGTTTCCCGACAAATGTGATAGTGTAGTGCATGGAAGTGTAAGAATGTATAAGAGGTGAGAATAGGACAAGAAAGAGGGAGGATAGATTGCGCGCGGTCATTTTCTTAGGGTACGTCTCCAGTATTTTTCTGGTCTTGAATGGAGACACAATGGATCTGCTGCAGCCGGCCTCTAGAATTATTTTCCAGATAGCGGCTTAATTCGACCTAGCTGTGTAGCAGATGTCTAAAATTCTGTGACCGTCTAGCTCAAACACTAAAACCTCCCGACGAGCATTTCAGTGACATCAATTGTCTTTAGCCTCCTCTTCCGGTGTCAATGCCTAATTGCAATTTTTTTAATACTAATATTTTAGTTTATATTTAGTTGAATTTAGTTGGATGTTATATTTCATTTGTTTATATTAATATAAGTTTAGTTTACATTAATGTTTAATAGCATAATACATTACTTGATATTCATTTATTATTTACTTGCAAAAATGATTCGTTATTTCGTGCACCGTTCAATAACAATACAGCATTAAATAAATGAGAACAGGCATGCATGAATATGGATGTCAAGCGGAAAACGAGATGCTGCCTCGTTTTGTACGAGACTTTCTCACATAAATTTTGAGGAAAAGAAACATGATGGTATGTAACTAATAGTATTAGTTAACATGACATATTCACTTGTTTGTCAGCCTACATCAATGAGTCATCTCTATGAAAAACATTGCCCTTGAAATATTATTATTATTATTATTATTATTATTATTATTATTATTATTATTAGAGGTCGCATTAACTTCCAGGTCATTAGCGACCACTATTGAATGTAACGTTATGGTAACTGTGAGGATGACACGATATGTTGATGATAGGGATGAAAGAACGAACACAATACAACCATGCCCGAGGCGCGATTCGAACCCGCGATACTTCGGTATTAGATCGCTACGGCACTGCTGCGTCAGCAATCTCGGCCATCTGATCAGTATTGCGCTTGAGTTGCTCCACGGAAGAGTGTCCTCTTACTCGAGGACGTTTAAGGTATCCATAATCATTGCAATCTCGGTTGCTCTTTACTGCGTACCAACAAGAGTTTTTTTTGTTTCTGTGGAGACTCATTTTCATTTTCCAAGACGTTTACGAGTTCCTCGTATGCATCTATACGAGAAAGTATGCACAGTTGTGCAATATGAAGCAATATACCAGTTATAGGTTTGTTTGGATAAGAAAAGATCACAATTCTCTAACGGCA